AAATTTTTACTTTCTGACGCTTCCCGTGCATGCATTGTCCACGTGCTCTCTTTCTGTGGGTTTCGAATCATAGTGTAGGGCCATACTAAAACCCTCTGCATTTCCTCTGGCTATGCTCCTTTTGTAAGTCTGGGGAAAGGTAACTTTAGTAGTTGTGGGTATATTTTATATGATCTGTTGTCAAAGATATTGTGTAATTTTGGGGGGATAACGTAACGACTTTAAAAAAAAATAGTTTGTTTTTTGCATTGTACATGTACTGTTGTGCTTGTATATGATATCTCATGAGTCATCACAATGTATTATACTGTGCTGTCCTGCTGTATTATATTTGGAATAAATTGTGGTTTAGGATATATAATGTAGATGTCATTTGCTTTAGGCCTGTATCTGGTCTTGTATACTCATATCCCAAGTGCTTGTCCGCTTTAATTAGGGGACCGTTCCTCCGCCCTCCCACCGTCCAACTGACGTGGGGCTGGTCCGCTACATAAACAAGATGATCTCACGAGCCAGAGCTCGGCAGGCACTACCGTGAAGAATGCTGGACTCCACAGATGGCAAAAAAAAATAGTTCAGTCCTCTACAGTGCAAAAATGAGCTGCAACAGGGACAAAGACCACGTCGAATAAGAATGCCCGGGCTTGAGACGAAAGGGCGAGGGTGGGACGACTGTCGCAAATACGGGACTTGATATTCCCACACACTGGAACTGGATTCAGTTCATCTCTTCTGGAAAAAAATCACTCCCCAGACGACCCGCTAGCACAGGTTGAAATGGTGCATATGGTAGAATTGCCTTCTAAAATCTGTCTTGTGGTGTGTGTGTGTCTCTCTGCCTCTCCCGTTTTTATAGTCTACAATTCTTCCAGAAATTCCTTCTCATTACGTAAGCTTCTCCGTAGATCTTTCTTGTTGTGGGGTGCAGTTTTAAACTTTGACATTTATAAAACTAAACATTTGTAGAACGTACGCAGTCAAATTATAATTTCTTGGAATTCATTTGGCCACAGAAGTATAAGAATTGACGCTCGATTAACTTGCGTCCAATCTTTTAAAGGACTGCAATCACATGGAGTTTGACTGTAAATGAACAACAAGACCAAATGAACGATGAAAAGAGCAAAATGAGCAATGAAAAGAGCAAAATGAGCTATGAAAAGAGCAAATAAGGAATGAAAAGAACCAATGATCAAAAGAGCAAATCACGAGCAGTGAAATACACATACATGTCTATGTAAATACATTATATATTGAACGATTTCCTTTGTTTCTTATGATTTAAAGATCATCCTTCCAAGGGTCGACATGAATGTTATTTCTGCAGTCAATCCCTATGGAAGTTATCAGGTTATCCATCCTTATATTTTGCTGGGTGTATTAATTGGTGGCTTTGTGATCGGTGTTAGAGTTATAAATACGATTCTTACGAAATGTCAACAGTTCAAATTTGGATGACAACAGTAACGTTTTTTATCGACCGGGTCTTAAAAACTCCGGTAGCATGTCTCGTGAAAACCAATGTACATGTACATCATGTAATTCATAAAACAAAATAATGCTTTGCCATTGGCATAGTCCGTAGCGCTCCGCATTCAGTTTGTTCGGTTGTTTCTTGATCTCTGCCGCATAAAAAGCCACTCTTTGGCACACAAAGTGAACCCCCATCGGACATTCGTAAGGGCTTTCACTCTTTCAAATTTGACCGATTCTACATGCAGTAAATGCCTTCAACTCCCATCTGAAATTCGTCGATGTTGACACACGTGCCGTCCGCATCGCTGGACGTCGCCATGTTTATTGTTTGGTGTCATGACCCACGACCCACGCCTTCGTACCGGTGTCGGATTTGACAATTTGG